AATGGAACTTTTAGGGTTATTATCAGATAGGATTTGAATTTTAAAAGTTTTAACACGATTATTTAGAAAAGACAATTTTGGTACTCTCATTTATTTATACTTTTATTCTTTCATTTATTCGTTCATTTATACACCTATTAAGAGCTTTCGCAAACCCTTGCAAAATCTTCCCAACAGGTCTTTACAGGGAACACTCAGGACAGAAATGAACCGGGCGGTAGCATTATTGATCCACCAATCATCACCAGGTTCATAAAGATTCGTGTGAAAACATCTAGAGGACATCCAGCCTTGCGTGCCGAATTTTATGGATGTACGGAAGGTAAGTCTGCGAAGGAAAATGTTTAGGTACTTCAGTATGGGTTTCAATTCAAATACGATTTCAGAGTGTCTATAAAATTTTTTGCCACGAGTTCCAGAGTTATCTTACAGGTTACAATGAAAATGGGTATGATAGAGAGATTTATCACCGTGTATACGTGAAACGGCAAACGTCAGCTTGCCCTTTCAGGTTCACGTAAAATAGTGTGAATCTTGCTGCTTTACCTCTGAGTGAGTTCGTCACTTCGGAACCAACTGGAGGCTGTCTCATGAGTTAACGTTAGTTACAGTTTATCGATAAAGAAAAGTACAGCATTTGAAGGATTTTCAGCATGAATCTACATCTGCCCTTGTATGACTGACAGGAAATAGTTTTGTTGCACTTTTTTCTGGCAATTATCTTTTACACAGCTGGAGCTGAGAAAGGAAAAGTAGTCTCACGCACACGGCAAACGTGAAACAGCTTGCTTCCAAGTAGAAACGGAATAGCGCATCCGGTAAACGTAGAAAATGGCGGGAAAATCGTGGTCATGTGGTCACTCTTGCCGTTCACAATTAACGTAAACGTGGTTCTAAATCTCTCTTTTGTCAATGATATTCAGAGGGGAAAGAAAGAAAGAGTCATCAGCTTAGCTAGCAAGTTTTTAATGTAACATTTTAGGAAAAAAATCAGAGTTTGTCGATAAATCTGTTGAATTTTACTTACCCCTCCATACTTTCCTCAGTAAGAAGTGTTATCGAGTCACTTATTTTTAGTTTTATTCTAATTACTAGTACATTATTACCGCAGTAGAACAAGTATGCTCGCGTTTCCTTTGATTTTCCTCCTTGTTATATTGATAGGATTCGAAAAACCAAAGGCCTTGGTGTGCTTGGAAGCTCTTGGAATGCAGAATGAAAGAATTCCAGACTCTGCCTTAAGTGCTTCAACAGGGATTGCCATCAACGGCAGATTACATTTCCTCTATAGATCAGGCCGATATGGAGCCTGGATAGCAAAGAGAAATGATAGGTTCCAGTTCTTGCAAGCAAATTTTGGAGACTGGACAAAAATCACCCGTGTTGCTGTTCAGGGGAGATCAGACGCAGAGCAGTGGGTGAAGAAATTTGAACTTTCATATGGCTACGATGCAGTGTTCTTCAAAGCTTATTTAGAAGACGGTGCAAAGGTAACTAGTGGGTGTCGCTTTGTGCACTTATGAGAAATTTTTATACCTGCTTTCCACGGTAGATAAATATGTTGCAACATCAAATTCAAGCACAAGGCAGCGATTTGTTGAATTATTGCTATCCGTCCTTACTTTTTGCATCGTTTCTACGGTAGAATGCCGTAGCATATTTTTTACGTTCTGTTGCCCTCATTTAGTAAATTGATGTAAAGGTGGAATAATTAACATATGGTAAACACCACAGCGTACACTATTGAGTTATGGATGCACTCGGGAGGTTGCTAAGCACAAAAGAAGCAGAAGAGTCGCTCGAGGCGATAGCCGAGAGCGACTCTAGCTTTTTGAGTTCTTATCAAACCTCCCGCGTGCATCCATAACTTAATAGTGTAAGCTGCGGTGTTTACCATTTGTTTTATAACATAATATTGATACATTGTAGCTAAAGAGTTCCCTTTTAGGAAAAATAGTCTTTGCATTTGCCCACGTCAGCAGCGTACACCCATGGGCAAGTGGGGGACGCCAAATTGACCAATCAGAGCGCGCGCTTTACTTTGGTTATGTTATAATAATTAGTGTAAGCTGCGGTGTTTACCATTTGTTTTATAACATAACATTGATACATTGTAGCTAAAGAGTTCCCTTTTATTTAACAAATCTTACGTGACCAGAAAAAACAAGCACGCGCGGAAAAATAGTCTTTGCATTTGCCCACGTCAGCAGCGTATACCCATGGGCAAGTGGGGGACGCCAAATTGACCAATCAGAGCGCGCGCTTTACTTTGGTTATGTTATAATAAAATAACCAGTCAGAGCGCGCGCATTACTTTGGTTATGTTATAATAAAATATGGTAGGTGAAATCAAAGCACCAACTCAGGGACCTACAGGAAAAATACGCATACCGTACGTATTGCATAAGGTTTCTGATTGGGAAGGGCTTAAGCTATAGACGACGGGATAACTGTAAAGTAAGGGATTATAATTTCATGCTATAAAGATATGACATTTTGGGGGGATGAGCGCCTTAACGTAGCTCTAACAATATACAGCTTTGGGACAGAAATAAATGACCTTGAGTTATATTATTCTTGTTTTATCCTGCACATAGGTTAATCACACACTGAAATTGATGGTTTGATTCAAATTCAGAATTCCTTTTTCCTTTGTTATAAATACTGGCAGTTTGTTGTAAGTGCCTCGTAAATGTAAGAAACAGATGAAGTATTGAAAATGTAGGAGATTTGTTTACTCTGCGAGACAATTTAACCCGTTGACCCCTAAGAGTGATTAGTATCTAATTTCTCCTTACAATAGCACCTTATGTTCCCACATAGAGTTCAGGAGAAAACAGGAAATGATCATCAGCTAAAGAAGCTCTTGATTGTTAAACAAACTCTCCTTATCAACACCTTAGAAAATGTATAGAGAACAGTATGGAGAATATGCATACTGATGTTGGGGTGTGAAGGGTTAACAGCAAATGAGGGGAGTCGAGTATGATAATTGATGTCTTTATCTTTATTTTAGATCTTTTCTGGTAGTACTGATCGATATACCCCAGTATATCATGATCTTAAGTATCCTATCATCACTCGCTAGATACGTATTCATCCAGTGGAATGGCAAGCTCACATATCTATGAGAGCAGAGTTTTATGGTTGCAAAGATGGTAAGGAAAAGCACTAAATGTTCAGATGTGATTACCGACGTTATATGTGACGTCATGTAGGTGGTATAAACGGGCAAGTTTTCTGATATAATTGTAAATAATGTGCGGGTTACATTTAGTATATACCATAAAGGTTTATAGTGTTTTTCACACGCGCTGATTGGCTACTTCCTAAGTAATTAGCAAATACTATTCACCTCTTAGAAGCAGAAGACAAAACATCGCTCGCCAAAAAATTTATATTTTCAATCATTTTTTGGTACATTGACGGAATAGACTAATTTGTTTGGTTTCTGTGCGGTATCTACTAAAACAATTATTCACGTGATGAAAGTGGTGAAAATTTACCTCACCATTACGCGACTTGGCAAGTATCCACTACAACTCTCTTCCAGCTCCGTAGAGAATGGTTAAAAAAGCGGCAAGACATGCTGCTTTTGCTGCGTAAAAAATGCTATCTATACGAAGATTGACGGATACCACTCTTCTGAAAGAGCGATGGTTCAGATAAAAAGTGTGTAATTACCTCTTAATCAGAGCCACGAACCCTTTCCTTCTTTCGTTTCGATTGGCATTTCTCAGTTCCCTGGCTTTGACTCTAATTGGTAATTCATCCCTGAAATTATCAGGATTCGAGCCTCCAAAACTGGAATGCCAAGCAGAACTTGGAATGAGCAGCGGGAAAATACCCAACAGCGCTATCACTGCCACTACCAGCTATAATCAGTACTATGGTCCAGAGCGCGCCAGACTGAATACGGTGAAGTCAGGGAGTTTTGCTGGAGCGTGGTTACCTAATTCACAGGACCTTGGTCAATGGATCCAAGTTGATCTGGGAAAAATTGCAAAAATAACACGTATAGCCACAAGAGGGAGGCAAGATGCAGGTCACTGGGTTAAAAGCTTCTCTCTCACTTACAGCGTTGAGGGTGGACCATTCATACCTTACAATGATAACCAGGTAAGAAATTCAAGAGCGACTTGAAATTTAGGGTAAAGGGCTGACGTGACTTTTGTATCGAGCCTCCTTGAGCTACAACATTAAACTTTACTCACTAAATGAGTTTGTATTACCTCTGCATATATGAGGCCTGTGCCCCTTAAATGATCCTTTTATCCGCTGCGAGTCAACAGACGATTGTTCCTTCCGCGAAGCCTAACCGTGGTTTGATTCCTAGGGGAAAATTTTGAACTTGTATGTTCGTCTACGCGATAAGCCGAGTTAGGAACACCGATCAGAAAGTCCTCATCGATATCCTAGTTTATTTACCAGCGGTCTGTTCCTCTCCACGTGTCACTTATCTTTAAACGATGCCCATGCCAATCAACGTCAGTCTCGTTTCACGCTTGTTATGTTTTAGAACCTATGTAACAGAAACAGTTAGCTCATTATCACCTCTCATGTCTTATAGGTTCTTCCAGGCAATACGGACCAGAATACAATCGTTGGGAACATTCTTAATCCGCCTATTATAGCACAATATATCAGAATCCACGCAAAAGAGTGGCAAAGTTATATAGCACTACGTTTCGAGCTTTACGGATGCACCAGCGGTTAGTATATCAGTTTTGTCTATAGCATATACGGGCCAACTGGCACAAAGCCATTCAAAACCGTGCCTGAGTACAATAACTTTTCAGCCCCTTTATCTTAATTTATTTCAATATTATCTGTATAATTTTGTTTGAGGAATGTTTTTCGATGAAAACTCTCCCTGCAGTTCAAAACTAGAATTTTAGGTTGAGAAAAGAATCTTGGCGTGAAAAAGACCTGAAAGCAACTTTTCTTTTCTACCTTTAATGGGAAAATGCTGGTAAATTCGAATTTCCAATAGTTGTTTAAGCACGAAAAAATCCTATTTTTCTAACTGACAAAAATTTTCCAAAATCTTGAAGGTAAAAAGAAGCAATTCGAGAGAAAAACCATAAAATCTACGTTTATCAACTGACATCATATTTTGATTTGGGGCACAATGCATTCGGTGGTTTTCCTTGTAACAGAGATTGAATGATTTACCGGAAAATGTAGCCATGCGGTTTGATATTCATTCTGAGATAAGAAGTAACAAGCAAGCTAAATCAAAAGCCAGTCTTCTGCAGATCACACGAACTCATATAATGCAAATCCATGATAAGAAATTGTAACATAACCAAAACTAAAGCGCGCTCTGATTGGTCAATTCAGTGTCCACAGTCTACGCTAGTGACGTGAGCAAATACAAAGGCTTGGGAGGTTCGCTAAGCACTCAAGAAGCTAGAGTCGCTCTCGGCGATCGCCTCGTGCGACTCTTACGCTCCTTTCGTCCTTAGCAACCTCCCCCGTGCATCCATAACTCAGTAATGTACTCTGTGATGTTTACCGTTCCTCAACTCTCGTTGAGGCACTGATTTTCTCGACTTCACAGGTTTTTCCATTCCCAGTATTCCTCCATGTCAGATTCAACTTGGGATGCAAAACGGCAAGATACCAAATTCTGCCTTGACAGCCTCATCGAAACTGAATGCCAATTATGGCCCAGAAAATGCGAGACTTCACTTTCATCCTGTGAGTGGCCGCCAAGGAGCTTGGATACCAAGCGTTCAGAACGTTAACCAGTGGCTCCAGGTTGATTTCGGAGTTGAGACGCAAGTCACACGAATTGCTACCCAAGGTCGCCAGAATGCAAATCAGTATGTCACAAAATACACATTGAGATACAGTCTTGATAAATCTTACTGGAACCAGTATCAACCGTATGGTTTCACCATGGTGAGTTGAAAAGTCCCTCGAAATAATAATTTTCGCAGAGTTTTTTCACGTGGAGCCATCGTCATGAAATATTTCAAGTGAAAAACGTCTGAGTTAAAGCATATCGTTTGCACATTACTCGCTTTTAATCAAACCAAAATAAAACTAGCAAAATCTCGTTGTCCATAAATAGTGCAAGCACTTCATCTTTAGTGTAGAAAACGGCTGAAACAAGACAGCTAGAGGTTCCATTTTTCTGTTTGCCGTATAAACGCTATGCTCAACCACTCTACTATTAGAGGATATGTACAAAAACTTTTGCCAGGTACCCCACAAACTAGAGGCGAATTTTCGTCTCCTTAGAATTCGCTGACCAGATCTACAATCAACCCATAAGGTAACGACGCAGCGATTTCTACCACGCTAAAATAACATGAAGCAGAGGCGGATCCAGGAATGTTTGATTGGGGGTATCCAAACATTGGCTCAGAAAGGACTGTTGGACTCTTTGAGGCAAATTACTTCTCCCCCACACCCCCTCCCACCAGTCGCGGTTGCACGTTATAACTCCTTGGCCGCTTACCGTTTATTTGGATTCATTAAAAAAATCAGCCAGTTAAAAGTGATATACGATCCTGTCTCAAAGCTGTAAGCATCAGGTTTGATAGGAGGGGGGGTCCGGACCCCCGACCCTCCCCCTGGATCCGCCACTGTGAAGTCATCAGGACGCGTGTTTTTACACCCTTGCAAAGAGTGTTTGGATTAGACCATGCTCATTCTTACTGTAGCTGTTGCTAAAAATTTCTTGTGAAAGCAATTTACATCATTGGAGAAATATGAGTCCAAAGCTGTTCTCCCTCTTCAGTAAACTAATCTCTGTGGTGGCCCTGGCGTCACTCAAAAGATTCTTTGAAAGATTAGGTAGGATTAGGATAAGATGGTGATACTGATTACCTATGTTATTAAACAGTAGCTTATTAGGAGAAGAGTGTTCTTAGCAACTACCTCTAATCAGCAGTCTGTTTATAAAAAATGATTTTTTACTCGTGACGTCTTTCTAACTGATATAGTTGATTTTTGTTTTTTTAAGACATTCCCGGGAAACAATGACCGATACACAGTCGTCAGCCACAATTTACCCAAACCTATTCGGACGCGCTATTTGAGGATTGTTCCAGAAGAATGGTATAGCTACATCGCAATAAGGGCTGAATTCTACGGATGCAAGACAAGTAAGATTGAATATTTACGCGCGCATCAGTAATTTTATGTTGGCTTTTTCTAATTTAGATGTAAGCAACTGTTAGTTGCCCTATTTAAAGTACTATCTTTAAGTTCTACACTGACGGATAGCTAACCTGTAAGAGGGTCTTAGTGGTGTCAAATGTTAGCCGAAAAACAGCCAAAAGATTTAGCCGTTAGACGTATAGAAGTTAGCCGTAAACATTTTTCCTTTCAACAACGTGTCAGTTTGTGTCATTCTGGATTTACCGTTAGCCGTTAAATGACCAAAATTTAAACCGTTCGCCGTAAAGGCCATACGGCCCCATTAAGGCCCTCTTGTAGACATTGCTTTCCTTCATATAGTCAGTGCGAAATATTTAGTATGTATTTCTGGATAAAAAATATCACCTGCTTGGGAAATAAATTGCAAACCGTTTGTCACCTTTGTTTTTCCACCGTAGATGACGGGGGCTATTCCGAATGGGGCTCTTGGTCTGCATGTTCCAAAACTTGTGGAGATGGGCGCAGGAGCCGCCGTCGATCATGCACCAATCCCGCTCCAAGTCCAGGTGGAAAGGACTGCTCAGACCTAGGACCAGACACACAATATGAAAATTGCAATGATGGAGGCTGTCCAGGTATACGCATAAACCTTTTCTGTCGAAATCCCATTTCTTATCTTCCCATTCCATGTTTGAGAGATTAACCGCAAAAATAATATTTATTAGAGTGAGAACATCAAAGGGATTGAAGAATTGCACGCAACCCCAGGATTTCTATCAAACAATCCAATTTTCAGTCAAAGATTATCGCCCTGAAGTGTAGCAGGTCTGTCAAGAGGAGTAAAGCTGACGTTTCCAGCGTTAGCCCTTTGTAAGAGCAAAGGGCTAAATTAAACCCGACGAAGGGCTAACGCTCGAAACGATAGCTTTGAAAATCTTTACGGTAGCCAATTTACATTATAAACTCAGTTGATAAAGCCAAATTGTTTTGTTATACACACCCATCGACGCAGTGCCACAGTTTCTTCAGAAACTGACACCCCCCCCCTTATTTCAAGAGGAGTTTCCTCCTCAAGGACACCAGCACGATTATGTTAATGAATTGTTTTTACGTTCCGAAGTGAATGGCGGATACTCCGCTTGGGGACCGTATGGTGATTGCAGTAAACCATGTGGTGGAGGAGAACAAACTAGAAGGCGCACTTGTACCAATCCACCACCGGCAAACGGAGGCAAAGGCTGCGACAGGCTGGGACCAGACATTTCAACCAGAGAATGCAACACACGCAACTGTCCAAGTGAGAAACTGTTAACTAACTTTGTAGATAAGGCGCATGGGTATTTCCTTTCCCTTTCCTTTTCTATTCCATAAATATCACCTCAAATACCAATTTGAAGGAGCAGCATACCTGGTTTTTGTATGTGACCTCTTGCATCATTTGGATCCAGTAACGGAACATGGTAGCTCTGATTTTATTTCGCTGGCAGTCAAAGGATGATGACTGTGATGATGATGTTATGAATGAATTTGCACTTTTGCAGGAATTTCAGAGTTTTCATAATTGAATAGACGATTGATTGAGGGCTTTTAAACGTTAGTAATACCAAAAGGGAATATGATGAGGGATGTGGCGTGCTACAATTCAGATCGTAAGGTCAGAGGTCATTTCCTGGCCAAGGTTAAATATTACACTTACAAGGCCCTCTTCTATCCGGAAGCATTAATAGTCACAAGCAGATTGTTAGCGAAAGTTTATGACATTCAAGGGGGGGGGGGGGGGGGTACAATGGATAATTATTTCATCCAGAGGAAGTAGCGATATCCCTTGTCGCTTTGGAGAGCCCCGAAGGTGCAGGTCACTCGGCTCATGTACCGTTTAGCACTATACAAAGCAACGTTTGAAGGCTTCTTTATCTATTTCCAGTTGATGGTGGTTATAGCAATTGGCTTGAATGGAGCGATTGTTCTGCCACCTGTGGCGGGGGCAGAAGAGCGCGCAGCAGGAAATGTGACAACCCCATTCCGCAGTATAATGGAAAGAATTGTGTTGGACCCTCACTGGAAACAGAGGATTGCAATATGAAAGACTGCCCACGTGAGTGCACTACATCTTCATTTACTATGAATTTTATGAGTAATTGAAAGACAGCAAACTCCATGGAAATTACAATTCGAATTCCAAATTTAAAGTTGTAAAGCTATGATAAAGAAAAATTATATTCTCTCCCAGAGAAGTTTAACAGTGTTTCATCAAACGACATTATATAACATTAATCTAAGGTTACACTACTCGTAACAAATTCATAGCACAAAACTGTGAAATATCGTAATAGCCATTTTAGGGGATGGACTTCTGTATCAAATAGATAACTTGCAATCATTGTTTTCTGGATCAAGAGACTAATAAAAACTTATCAATTTGTAGGGAATGGAGGGTACTCTGCTTGGGGGCCATATGGTAAATGCACTAAGACTTGTGGAGGAGGTAAGCAATAACGAGAGCGAACATGCACCAATCCACCGCCAAGCGCCGGAGGAAAGGATTGTGCGGGACTTGGACCGAATAAATAAAGCAGAGAATGCAACAATCAAAATTGCCCAAGTGAGTTTGCGTTGATTTAAAGATTGAAGTGTATCATACAAAATCAACGACGATCTTCTTTTTAGAAAACTCTATTTTTCCAGTAGACAAAGGAAAATAAAAAGGTATCAGGCGCCAACTACATCGCCAATGTCTCAACTAAATGGAATAAGTATTATTTTGACCAGTAGGAACAAATGAAAAGGAAGAAATGATCCTCACTAGTGACCTGCAATTAAAAGATTTAGAAAAATGAAGGCCGAAAAATTTAAGCTTCGACGAGATTCGAACCCCTGGCAGTCTAATACTATTGGTTAAGATGTCTCTACAAACTGAGCCACGGAGCATAACGTTTTCCTTGAAGGCTCTCGAGGATATTCCTCTCAAAAAAACCTTATTGAACATTTTTTAAAACTTTTATTAAATGTTCCATACTAGTGTCTGTTTCGAAAGATACAATTAAAAGGGTAAGTTACTATGCTTGTCTAAGAGATAAAATGAGCCAGACTTACCCCATTTATGCCCGTACTGGTACTAATCGCGCGCGTCATTTCATCGGTTTACACTGTGACATTTTGAGGTTGCTCGGAAGGAAAGATTTTACGGTATTGAAAAACAATAGCGTGTTCTGCGAATGCGCACGCGCTTGTTCCCTTGACTACGTGATTTTTATGCGCAGTACAGGATGCACAGTGCATGACTGAGGAATCACCACAACTCTCATAAAGAAAGCTGGTCACATGCAAATAAAGATAAATCGCCAAAGTCGCCAATATCCCCTTCGGATGCACAAAAAAAGTTATTTTTGGACGACATTAACCAAACAACAATCCCCAACGCTAGCTCTAATTGTTGAATTGTTCCCTTTGCATACCGAGACGTAAAACGGTCTGTAATGTCGTTTTCACATAATTTGTTGCTTTAAAAATCCCTTATAAAATTACTTTTTTGTGTAGACTGAATTTCTCTGCTTCAATAAGTCACGGCTCAATCCATTATTTTCATGTTTTTAAAGTTGACGGAGGTTACGCTGACTGGAACGAGTGGAGTGAATGTTCTGCTAACTGCGGGGGAGGAATACGCCGACGTAATCGGCAGTGCACCAATCCCAAACCACAACATGGTGGAAAAGATTGTTCGGAACTGGGGCCCATTCATCAGACAGAAGTCTGTAACACAGCTGGATGTCCAGGTTGACGTATCTTATGTGGATAATGTGGATCAATAGGCAACTGTGCACCCCCCTCCCCTAACTTGTTATCGGTTGGACTGTTGTTGGGCAGGGGAGGGGTACGTGCGCAGTTCTCAGACACTGACATTCATCCTATAATTTCATATTGAAATTTGTAGGCATCGCTCGTCATTATTTTGCTTGATTAACCTTCTTGCCGTTTTGAGCCCCACTGACTCCTCTTGATTCCCTATATTTTTTTACTCCGCCTTTCCCCTGTTTTACTACTTTTTGTCTTTTTCGGAACGGAGCCAGTCGGCCAGCCAGCCGGTTGGCCAGTCGGTCCCAATGCCTCTCCAAGTGAGGAATACTGAATGCTTTTTTTTTTTGTTGTACTATAGAAAAAGCCTTTGTACACAAACGTGTTTCTTTACGTCAAATATCTGAAAATTTTTTTTGCTAATAACGGATGGAAGATAAGTAGAGACTTCAGCCGTATGCCAAGTTCATAAGATAGAATAGCATGATAGTATGCCAGTAACTTTTAGGTAAAAGACTCCAAATTTTGATATGAGTCAATTCAATATTTGTAGTTGATGGAGGTTATGGACCGTGGGGGTCTTGGGGCGACTGCACCATTACTTGTGGTAAGAAAAAGGGCAAAAGGACACGTGATCGCTTGTGCAATAACCCAGCCCCAAAAGATGGCGGAAAGGATTGTTCAGATCTAGGAGAGGATAGCGAGACAAAGTCGTGCACACCACCAATAAAGAAATGTCCCGGTACGTTAACCGATAAAAGAAGACCAAGAAGAAATCAAGCTCACTCATGCTCCATCACCGATACTAGCTTCAATATTGTATCATTATCATTTTATTAAAATTCCGGGAGAATATTTGAACAATCAATGCCTCAACGAGAACTTTGCTCGTGTGGAAACCTGAGGTAGTTTCCACGCATTTTCCAAGAAACACGAGGTACATGAAACTATTCCCAGAATATCAAGAATATAGAAATAACTCAAATTGGATTTTCTTTGAATAGGTCTCATAAAATGAATCGAGACTTCTAGCTTGATCGTCTTCCGTTATGCATAGTATATGATTCTTCTTTTGATGACGAGTATGAAATTTTGCGCGACATTTTTCCTAGTGGACGGCGGATGGGAAAACTGGAGCGATTGGAGTAAGTGTTCGGTTACATGTGGAGGAGGAGAACAGATCAGGGAACGAAAATGTAACAATCCTAAGCCTGGAGCTGGTGGAAAGGATTGTGAAGGAGATAAACAGGAGACCAAAGAGTGCAACACCTTTAAGTGTGGACGTAAGTAAAGGACATTTACATTCTTTTTTCTTTACGTACCGTAAAATGTGAACTACAAATGAAGACTATTTTTGTCTCACTGGACTCCCGATCGTGGAGTCCAAGCTCGAGCTCTCTCCTGGCCATCGTATTTTGTAATAGAGCATTAATCGTTTGTCCCTCAATGTGATTGTTGCTTCCTATGTGAATCACGACGTTTTAACTAAATACTGCTAGTATTTTCTATCATTCACCACGATGAACAAATACAACCTTTTTTACGAGATTAATTGTTTTCTGTTCATTGATAAACTGTAAAATCTGACACAGTTTCAATTTTCCAAGCTTCTGAATGGCATGGTAGGACATAGTTGGAGAAATGACTTTGGGAATGGGAAAAGTCACTTGTAATGCGTAAGTTTCCCGCTCAACGGAGGAATACTCCTTTGTCACTTCATGTTTCAGAAACTGGCTGCTTTAAGGCTAATATTAATATTTTTTCGTTTTCTTTAAAGCTGAATGGAAGCCGGTGGGCTGCTTCAAGAATAGCAATCGCGCCCTCGACGTGGTTCTTGAGAGAGTCGGAAGCAAGTCAAAACTAAGCGCCCGCTATGCAGCATGCACTTCAGCGGCTAACAGTGGAAGTGTGACCTTGTTTGGGTTGGATGACAGGAGATGCTGGACCGGTGAAAACGCAGAAAGGACATTCAGCAAATATGGAACCTCAGGGCTATGCAAGACAAAGAATGGACTGAGTGGAGGTCTATCAGAGTCGGAAACAATGTTTGTCTACGAGAAAGACGCAAGTGGTAAGAAAAATGTCTGTTTTTTACTCCAATCTGATTTCCGGTGAAAAGGAAACTGAATGATATGAATTACTAATAATAGTAATAATAACAATAGTAATAACTCTTTATTGGGTTTGAAACAGATAAATACCGAAGTCTGGTTTCCAATTTAGTTGCGTATTGGGTAATACGTATGATTGTAAACGTACTTTATCGATCTAATGTCTATCTTTCGTTTGTTTACTTTGTTCATATATTTGCCGTGGGTCTTAAACGTAATCTCCATGAGTTCATATTATCATTTTCGTACGAATGTAGTAATAAAATAGAAACGAGGAAAAACTTAGGTTATCTATAATCATCAACAAGTATCGATGAAAATATAGATAAATGATAATTTTAAGAAACATCATCATAATTTGAATTACAATAATGATGATAATAATAATAATAGTACCGGTAACGTTTTTATTAGAGAATGAGTCAACATAGTGTAACTTCACAACTTATCAATCGTAGACTAAAATCTAAACGCAAATTATCTAGTTACAAGAATTACAAACAAACGAGAGAATAAAAAAAGAATATTAAGAAATAAAACTACAAATACATCTGTTTACAAAGCCTCTTTAAACAGTTCTGTATAAACTCTGGGAAGTATGAATTCATGACCTGCCTCAAGGCACCTGAATAGGAAATCACTGAACCTTCAGATGAGTTGAACGTAATGACTACGGAATTACAAGGTAAGCGAAAATGAACCGACTGTATAATCCTTGGACATGACGAAATTTGGAAAAAGACTGGGCATAATTTTTTTTCTTGAATTCATGGAGGTATACAATGGCTGTTTCGAGAGGTTTGATTCATAATTCTCTCCACTGTTTTTCACAAAGGGGAATGGGCACAAAAAGGATGCTACGTCAACAAGGCATCAATATTGGCTCTGCCAGACTCTTTGGCCAACGATGTCGATAAAATACAGGGTAATGACAATATCTTTGAGTACTGCAAGGGGAAAGCTGAATCTTTTGGCTACAAGTTATTCGGAGTTGACGACAACACCTGCTGGGCGGATAACGATGGCAAGAACGATTATGATAAGTACGGGGAGTCCTCAACATGCTCTGTCAGCAAAAGTGGCAATGGATCCGGCAAGGAAATTAATGGTGACATGTTTGTCTATCGGTATGAATGATGTTTCGGGTAAGTTCGAATGATTGGTGTATTTTCAAATTGCTAAGACTTTTCTACCTCAGCTATACAGCTAGCGGATTTAACTTACCTGTGTGGTTTATCACCAGCGACGCCTAATCACCGTTACCTGAGCTTCTGTTCATTTTTTCTTGTACCAGTTTACATTTGCACTCAACACTTCCTTAAGAAAACTGGCAGAAAAGCTAAGCCAAGCTTCGATAAACTAATATCCCATGTTAGGGGTTGGGGGTGGGATGGGGGTAAAACTGCCTGCCTATGGTTGCCTTATTACAGTCAAGTTAAGCGTGTAAATTTCAATTCGCAGAACATGAACGCTTTAAGTTGAGTTTGCCCCTTGGGTATCGATGAGAATAAATGATTAGATTACTTCAAGTCAAACTATCATCAAGACCTCCTTAACATTGATGCTCTAGCCAAATTCAAGTCTCGTACTCCGCTTTCTTTTCAAGCTAAAAAAAGCTACAACAACTTAAAAGTTAGAGACATTTAGTAAGTGGAAAATACAAGCCATCGGCTAGTTAACCAAACTATGACCCAAAGGTAGTTGTCATTATTTGTTAAAGACTCCAAGTACACTGTGGCTCGGTATACACCTCATCCAAAAGCAAACTGAAATCGCATTTATGTTTATTTTTAACAGATAAAGGACGAGATTTATGCAACTCAAAAGTGGATCATTTATTGAAATGGGACCCGGCCTACGCGAAAAGGAAAGGGAAATATCATAACATGAAACGGTCGTCAGGCTAATTTCTGGTTTATAAATTGTACGGGTATTGGGGAAGTATTTTAGCGCGCTAAATGGGTTAATAAAAGAAAAATGAAAATATTGTTTGCATCATCTTTGTTTTTCGTGCCATCATCATCCGCAAGTCAATTTGTCACTACGAAAAATTATCCAGAAACAAGAGTGGAACGATTGAAACTTCTCATAAGAATACCTGTCATTCGTCCTAATTCAACAATACAAGCAGGCAACGAAGTTAACGTGTTACTAATGATCCATCTCCCCCCACAATTTCAAGAGTTAGCTGTCGATAAAGCGATCGGCATGTTCTGAGGTTTAATCATGCTGAAAGTTCCAAGAATAAACAGTCCAAATTTTTAAGATACCTCAAAAAAGATCCTCCAGATCCCCAAATAAAACCTAAAGAAAAAGTCTTTCATATTCTTAAATCGGTTTTCATCAGAAAAAAACGTTTTTCTTTTGTCGCTACTTAACTGTTTATATGTTACGTTCTAAATGTGTTTTTTTCTTTAAGTCGTCTTGTTTTTAGAACCTATATTAGATATTACCTTCACATACGCATTGCAGATTTAACTTCTTTCTTTTTTCTCTTTGAATACTAAAAAAATAATAGCTAACAATTATGCATTTACTGAAGTGGAGGTTGCTAGTAGTGGATAATTACCGAGCGGCCGCGAGGCGGCGGGGCGGCGAGGTATATATTTACCTCTAGCCACCGACATTCGGGTGTCTAAAAGTACATACTAAAACAGTGAGATAAGCGAAAAAATATGATTTAACAGATTGTTTCCTGCAACGATTACAATATTCTCAGGCGCAAATACTGCGCGCTAAGCTCGGAGGCGAATAGCAAAGGATATTCGGAGTTTGAGTGGCCAATAAGAGCGCACCTTCAACTATATCCATGTATTGTTTTAACAGATACTAAATCAAATATTTAAACGTCGTAATTTGAACCCTATACTCGGTACGAGAACTTAAATTGAAGAGGGCCACTTTTTTTTTTGAATTTCTTATTCAGGCATCTGAAGAGAACGATCCCAGAGCGCTTTTACCGCTAATAACCAGGGTACATAGCGAACCAGCTCTTTCCAGGCTGTTTCTCTGAATTACCATTTCCAATAGGCTCCGGCTTCAAATTGTTTTTGCGAGAAAGTCTGGTAACTAGTTTTTAGCACCAAGTCGAGGCTGAGGGAAATAGGAGTGAACAATGCTGTCCCCTTCGCTGATACGAAAGTATCTGAGCTTCAAAAGTTTTTAAAGGGAAGAGATATTCAAATTTCTATTCATGGTAACAATAGGACAAGAGCAGAACAACTGGAGCTATGTTAGAATGCAGCGGAAATAAAATTTTCAAAATTGAATAGGAATCAAAGCAACGGGAGGAGTTAGTTAATTAATTAAATCATAGTTAGTAGAGGGACCCTCTACTAACTATGATTAAATTGATAACATTGCCAGGAGTGAAAATTACTTCCCCATCCACTTTCGCTTAAGGATTGGACTCATGACTTCATTGATATTCCAGCCTTCAGGTTTCCTGATATGTATCATTATCTTGTTGGAAAAGATGGCTACGACGAAGACTGTTCGTACAAGAGTTTTGAGGATTTTCGCTTATTTGTAGGTCATGTTTCCGATTAAGTGATGACGATACAGATAAACAGAATGGATACTACACTTTCCAGTTCAGTTATTAGACAGGCCAAAGCCGGAAATCCCCTGTAGAATTTCACGGATTCGTCATTTGTCGGTATATCATCTATGAAAAGTTTTCGTCTCAATGCTGGCTTGTTATTGAATTCGTTTCGAACTGTTTTGCTATCCGACACATTTTTTATCACATCGTCCAATCGTTTGTGGTCAGTGTCCGTTTGAAAAGAAACAGACACACTCCTTTTCTTTGAATGCTTTTTCTTGTGTAATTGCGTTACATTGCGTTACAGTTGGGCTACACTGATTTGCCCTTTGATCTTTAAGATTTCAATTTCATTTAGCTTTCTAAGGTCCGGTTCAGACGTCGAACTTTTCAAGAGCCGAGCTCAATTGGAATGAATGAGTTGCCAGTACATCGGATCCCTCTATTATGCGGAAAGGGTTCTGGGGTCGCTCCAGGGCAAACATTGCAAGTTGCTACAAAGAAATATATGGCGGAAACTTCTTTTGACGTACAAAAAAACAATTTTGGGGGGAATTCAGCGCTTTTTCGCAGCCGTTTTATCAGAAAAGGATGAGAGCGATGTTGGTAGGGGGAAGTGTAAGTTTTTGTTGAAATAACCAGGAAGTATATAATAAAACGTACCGATAAAGTTCTCTCGTTGCGTAAGGTTTGTGATGAAATCGACATCCGGTAATGATCTCGAAATATTCCAAAGTTAGGTATAAATTAGAGGAAATTACCCAATAAGGAAATTTCAGCTGTAAATAAGTGTGTACAGTCTACTTCTGGTTTACTTCCCAGCTCGTAAACGGAAATATTATTGGAAATATGCCTCGTGGCGATCATTTTGCCGTGTGGGGTTGTGACAACGATCGAAGATACCCCGAGAAAGGCAAAAGTTTCTTCCTCACGTTGGGATATTAAGATTCCACTCGCCCAAGAATAAGAAAGATGTTTTTTCGTGGGCCAGAGCTATTAATCGTGTTCAATTCAAGATTACCTTGTGTACGAAGGTTTCTTCAAATCAGTTTGCACAAGGTTATAGAACTGAAAAATATTCACAGAGGAATCCAATTTGAAGAAGAACCTTGGCTGAAAAGTTACATCTATCTCAACACAAACCTGCGCACGAATGCAAAGAACGAATTTGAAAAGGATTTCTTCAAGCTGATGAACAACTCCGTCTTTGGATAAACAATGGAAAACATCAGGACTCAAGTTGATGTGAGATTAGTCAACAATCGAGAAAAAGCAAAAAGCTTTCAGCGAAACCAAACTTTAACCATTGCACAACATTTGACGGAAATCTCATTGCAATCCATATCGGGAGAACATCAATAAGGTTTGACAAGCCAGTTTACCGCGGAATGGCTATTCTTGATATCAGCAAGACTTTGATGCATGACTTCCACTATAACTACATCAAAGAGAAATATGGAGATTGTGCTAAGCTTCTTTTCAGAGACACTCACAGTCTCATGCATGAGATTGAAACTGAAGAATAATTCAGAGACAGCCAGAGATGTTGAACACAAGTTTGACACAAGCAACTTTCCCAAAGATCACATTTCAGGGATCCCAGCTGGCCGCAACAAGAAGGTTGTAGGCATGATGAAAGATGAAGCTGGTC